ACTACTAAACCGTTCAGCGAAAATGAAACATGGTTTGCGTTCCCTACATGCGTCCCTACAATATGCACAAAACCGTTTTGAAAAAGCGCACCTTGCCCTGAAAGACCTCCCTTGTAAGCATTGGAGGAGCTGACGAGCAGAGCACCGCGCCGCCGCGTGCCTCCCCCCAAATAACTTGATTAGGGATCTTTGTTGTGATTTCTGATTCAATTTTTTTCTGAGCTAGCGCTGATCTGTATTTTTTAGGGCCCAGCTGATTGTATGGGACCGTTCTGGTCGCCATCCCGTTGATCCAGGAATTGAGTCTGCCGCAGAAATGCTTAGGGGTTTGGAAATTGGCAACAAGTACAGTATAGAAAAGGTTTTTTTGTTGCCATGACATGTCCTGGCTGGTATTCCACTGCTTAATCTTACATGCTCTTTTGACACGGTTTCTATGACAGAACACTAACCGCCGTAAGCCTGTCTTGTATGTATGGGCAAGCAGAGGAAAATGTGCTCCTTATGCTGTGCCGAGGTAGTATAATTTTGTTTTTTCTATTTATTCAGCTTTCTATTTTGAAGTTGGGTTAAGGATCATTATTCTCAACCGGACCTTTACCAGGAAGACGTGAGCGCTCGTCCAGCCGTCAGCCTCAGTTAGGTTGATGTGAATGGTGTAGTTTCATTAGAATGGGCAAGCTAAAGGAGAAGTTGGGGGAAGGTTCTCTTGAAGCTGGCAGGACCTTCACAATTTCATGAGCCTGGAAAAGGATTTCAGGGCGCATTCATCGTTGGTCGTCCGATCGTAACGATCGCATAGGCCGCGGTCGCATAGGATAAGACGTGGTGAGCTAATGCAATCCCAAATGCCGTGAATGCGCGTCACGATATTTCGAAACTTCGATTGTTCGAGTATGGAGTCTTAGATATCGATCGTCCGATGCTGTCGTAATATCGGGCGACCGACTATGAACGCGCCCTCATATGGTATAGCAATGGAAGCATCGTCTTCGAAATTGCCGGCATATCGTGACTGCACATTCAAATTGGCGAGTACTTATTAATCTGGTAAACCTGTGACATCAAGTCAGAGATCCTTCCAACATTAACAAGCTTAGCCATATCAAAGGAGTTTTTGAAGATTTTCATCCAAAAAGTCAGCCCACTACTCTGCGGTGCTCGGTTTCTGTCCTTTCATCTTTCATGAGTTGAATTAACTGCAACGCAAATGTCGCAATACTTACAGAAGGATCCGCCCAACGAAAAGTGCTGACGATTCTTACTCGGTAATGCAACAAGTGCGGCTTCGAGGCTCTGTCGATTCCTGCTAGCCTTAAGTTGTGCTTGATGAGGTCAGCCGTTGGATTGCGGTGTTTCCTTTTTCGTGCTTTATATGCCACAAATTTATAGTTCACGTGGAGTGAGTAATCTGGTAGATGGGAGTTGTTCAGATAAAGTTAGAGTGGTCCTTTCCTTTGTCTCTATACGTCTATTTCTCAAGCACTTTCTTCTTAAACCGATCTAATCCTAATCCGGTTCAGAAGAGGGACATGCAAGAGTTCTTCGATTGGTCTGATGAATAAACTGTTAATATATCTTTCAGATCCGCAACGGCTAGTGAAGTTCCTCATCGAAGAAGAAATATATTTTTCATGAGAAGTTACTGTCCTGAACTGAGTCTCTACTGAAATGAACAAGAGGCCTATGGAAGCCGGCTGTTCTTCATGTACATGTGTATATATTCGTATAATAAAGATTCTATTTCCATCGTGTAGACGTTTTCACCGCTGTGGAGTTGTACATAGAAGTATTACCGGTAGCAGATGGGCTAACATCTGAGTTGGTGCGAGTTGGCGAAGATAGTTCGTCCGCCACTCCCGACTTTAAAATCGGTAGCGGATGGACGCCGTTTGGTAAATTAGAAAAGCGTTAGGAATTCACGGCACACACGAAGTTGGGGGAGCACTCCGCGGCCGCGCCGGTCTGAAGCATGTTTACGTATCTCGGCAACCATAGGAAACGTATTTTCGTAAAGAAGATTCTGCTGCCAGGGTTAATCGTTTACCGAGATGGGCTGAAGGAAGTTACTTCGCAGGTGTAAAAAGCCAGGGTGTGCGACTACAAAGCCATTTCGTCTGGAAGAGGCAGGGCGTACCCTTCAAAAAGCCAGAAAGTGTCGGGTGCAGACAATACACCACAAGTGACGACGGCTTCCAGAAAATGCGAATGTTTTTTGCCAATGAAATGATTAACCTGTTACAGTTGTATTCGATCAGTTGACAGTAATTACAACTATCATTTACTAAAAATCAGCTATCACTATGAACCACTACTAACCAGATTTACTTTGGAGGCCGTCGTCAGTTGGGTGTGTGGTCTGCACCCACAATTTCTGGCTTTTTGAAGGTGTGGGTAGGTGGTTCGATTGCGTGCCTAACGCCACCCACTGCCGGGAAAATATGCTTTGTCGAAGTAGACATACGCATTGAGACCTACACTGTTGATTTTGACTTGTTTTTGTTTGTTAACTGCTGTTTTTGGCCGCAGTTCGCCTTGCGAATGTTTCACAAGAATGCTGGGTTGTGAACAAAACTTTCGCCCCAGGCGGGACTAGAACCCGCACCTCTCGCTTTCCGGGCAAGTGCGCTACCAGTCGTATACAACTAACCGGGACATTTCCATCCCATCAGCTTGCTCATGGTGCTACGTTACTCATACGTTCTAGTCCCGCTGGTCCGAAAGTTTTGTTCACAATCCAGCATACTTGTGAAACTCTTCTGCGGTGTGTTTTTGGACGCTATCCTTAACAAGGTGAATATCGGTCGAGGAAATCCTCGACAGGAGGGGTCGTATTTGTCAGGGTGGGTCATGGGGGGTCGTACTCATTGGGGTCAGTAACGTCAGATAGGAGAGAGAGGGTGTAGCGCAGCAGAAAACAAGGATATGTGAGAAAACATGAGATAAAATATTCTTTGCAGGTCCAGTCGCTCCATTCCTTTACCTTTATGAGAAGGACGTATTTGAAAGCAGTACAAGGAATGAAAGTGCATCTCCGCAATGTGTACACGTGCTGTAGAGGCACCTCCTTTATCTAGGCCCGCTCTCTCGCCCTTAATTCCTCGTTGAAAATGAGGTCGAGATTGCTAGGGAGCTGTCCGCAACAACATCAAGATTCCTGAAAACGCATGAGGCGAATGAAGCTGTTCCTTAGGTTAAGGAGTTACGAAATGTGTTTCTACAATAGCAGTTCTGTCAACAGGTCATCGTCATATGTATAACACCTTTCAATAGATTCTACAACTTGAGTGGAGGTCGGATACATGGCCTATACTGAGACGAGATCGGACGATGACATTGCCTCGCATTTTCTGTCGCTTTGTGTTGGCAGAATCTTCGCTTGACCATTTCGAGGCGCGGTCACAAATTATATTGCAATGTAAGAAGGCGAATCTTTTGAGCGACGAGAATCCATCCTCGTGGAATACTCGCGTAAATATCTCTTCGCTAGAGAATGGAGAGGAAGCTAAAACCTAGTCTGCTATGAAAGCGCACACCTTCCGCTTCCAGACCCGCTACGTTTTCCAGAAATCTGGCGAATTAGAAGATATGCCTTTTATGTGCAGAAACTGTCGCTTGAAAAATCTTCGAACGGGTTCCCCTCGACATCAAATTTGGCAGACCAGACCTCTTCGATGTGTGGAGCTTTAATAAACTTCAATATTGTCGATAGGTAGCCATTCCAGCTCATCTAACCCTACCCCATAGACCAGGCTCCAAAGTATGGAGGGGGTGAATGAACGGCGCTTCTCAATCGAGAGGGCAGATGTCGACTGTTTTCATAGCAGCGGGTTTTCGGCAAATCTGACCCACAGATAAACTGGCAGCTGCTACGCCGAACGCTTGCTAGCACTTGAATGAACGTCCCGCTTCATCTCTCAAAACGGCACAGAAGAGGGTGGTCAGAGATTCCAATCTGAGGGGGGGGGTCGACCTGATCTGACCACCGTACGGCTCTTCGAACACGATTTTTCACCTGGATCTCAAACTCTGCTTTCCACATCTGCCACCTCGATTTTTCTGAACAGAATATGACGCTAAAAGCGAGCAGCGGTGGTGTTCGCGGACTCAACGGGCAAGGGGAGACGCCGAGTCGTCGGAATCGAATCCTGACGGTTGATTTGGATACAAATTTGCCTCTAGGGGTTTTATCTTCAGAACACGATCTCACACCTGACTCCTGCAAAACGTCTCTCAAGAGTTTTGCGGGCTCTCTGTGCAGTTGTTAGCAAGTAGCGCCCTAGCTTCTCAGGAACTCCACACAAATCTTTATATACAGTCGATCTCGAGGTGGTCGTGCATCCGGAAATGACGTGGGCAGCCACCGCACTTGATAGAAGTTGCGCGGATAAGCTGCTTCCAACACGCTTTGCTGATATCTGGCGGAGTATTTTATCCACACGACATCTATCAAGTGCGGTGGCTGCCACGTCATTTCCGGTGACACGCCCAATCAGACTTCGAGATATCGACTGTAGATACCCTCGCCTTCAAATAACCAGAAATTGTGCAATTGCAGAAATTGACGTGGCATTAACGTGGCATCGATTCAAGAACATCTTTGAGCATGCACACGTGATTTATCGAGAATTTAGCCATGTGGGTTTCTGGCTGCTTTTGAATCGATGCCCGTCATCGCAATTGCACAATTTCTTAGTTAGCGCTGAAGGCGAGGGGAACTAAGCCAGCGTTGAGCAGTATCGGGTTGGAAAGCTTTTTCGCAACCCATTGTCCGCCGGAAGTTACATGAGAAACGTCAGGGAACTATGAACCCTCGTCCCCCCCATAGTCCCGATCACTCCGCTGGCTTTTTGCGTTATAACTTCGTTCAGAAAGTCGATTGGCAGATTTGGAAAGCAGATTCAGGGTCAGCGTCCGAAAGCACATCTAACATTTCAGGTTTTGTTGCATATAGCTACTTTGACACACCATTCTTTATAAGATCAGGTGTGCGAGGACGCTGTAATGGACGTGAAAGCATCTTAACACATTGACGACAACGCGCGTTTTGGCTTTTTGGCCACGTGGGACAGGGGACAATTTCGCGAGCGCGGCCGCCGCAGCTAGCAATCGTAAATATTGGAATGATAACTCTGGAAAGCATAACTGATACCAAATCATTTCAGCCTATATTCAAAGCGTAGAAAATAATCGATGAAGCAGTGGCAAAATCTCGATCAAAAGACGGTGTAGTGGGAGTTTTTCGTAGTTTGATGCCAAAACTATTCGATGTGATGGCGTCAACGTGAAAGTAGAGTTTTCTATACCTTTGATCTTGTTTTACTTTGCGCTAGCCCCACTGCTGCATATTCATGAGAATAGAAAGAAAACGAGGAATGAGTCGAGCTATCCAATTCCGCTGTGCTTAAAAAAAAATTTATGCTAAACTGGAGCATATTTTGAGAAACCGTGACTCATGTCGTTTACAGTTATGTTATGTTGTAATCCATAGAATAGAGACAAGCAAATTCGGGAAGAAAGCTGCGCATGCCTAGAAAAAGGGATGATAAGGGTGAGACGCGGTAACGCGTCTCAATGTCCAACGAGGTGCGCAAAGTGAGACGCGTTACCGCGTCTCAATGTCGTCAATGTGTTAAGGCAGCGATTATGAATGGGTTAAAGAAGGGTTGTAGACGACTGGTGGTGCTCAATGGTACGCCAGTAGGCGAGAAAAAGTAGGAGAAATCCGTCAAGAAAACGCAAAGCGGGATCCCTTTTTGGCCGTTGATTTAACCTTTCCGGACCGCGCACTTTTCACGTGGCGGGCGCGTGTGGCCGGCGCCTTTTTATGCTCACCGTCGCGCGCTACTCAGCGAGCATAAACATCATGTATTTAATCTGTATTCCCATAAAATCCAATATTATGTCTCGTTTGTGTCTTTCATGTTCTTAAAGTATATCTGTGGTAAATATGACAGAAAGCCCTCCTGTAAAAGAGAAGGCGCACACAAAGGTAGACCGGGATTGAAAATCGTTTAAAATAAGTTGTAGTGGGGAAAAGGGGCTAGAAAGTGTCCGAAACTTTTAGATTCAATAGCATCATCGACGACGTGCACGCGATGTGATGAATTTCCTTGTATGAATTGTTTTCAAATGAGTTATAACTGTTTTCTTTGAGTTCGAAGTGGAAGTCCACTCAGTTTTTGGTTAGTTTAGGAACTATTTCGAGATTGTAGTCTAGGTTTTTTCACACATACGGCATGAGTATGTTACATAGATATCTAACATTATGAAACACTTTGTGGAAAAACCGAATCTTCGGAGAAAAAACTCCTAGAAGTCTCTGACACCCCATGGGTGTCAGGCGCTCCGAAATGGGTTAAACTCATGAACAGGTAACGGCTCAGAAAGCGGATGTATGAACGAGTTCACGCAACGCATTTATGGCACCATGCCAAACCACGCTTTAATCGAGTTGCTCCAGTTGTGCCGCTGCTGGCAACGCAGCTCGTCCAAATCACCAAAGCTAGTGGGCGGATCGCTTTCAGGGGGCGGAGTGCTTTCGAAGTCCTGCTCTCCACAACCATTACTTCAAGCGCTTTTTACAACCTCGCTCGCTCGGTACCCATCTGATGCATATCTTCTCCGATGCGCTCCCTCTTCATTGTAATCGCTGCCTCTAACGTCTGTC